CGACATGTTCATGGGGGGTGAACTGGGGTCGTGACAACAGTGCATCTCACAATACGTTACGAAAGTTTTGGTTCAGATGGACTCATAGCCAAAATGCAATGTCCGCCTCTATTGTCACATTAAAACTTACGAGTCATACAATAATATTTCTAGGAACATTGATAGAGCATTGACTTTTACTTATTTGCTAGTTTTTCCTACTTTCGATTTGATCAGTATATCATACTATAGTGCAGCAAAACTTACACTTGTTCACTTTTTCCTACAAGTTTCTATGCCAAAATCATAAGCGGAAAACTTCATTCAAGCTTATGAGGTGGTATGGGGAGCAAATTACCTAAAGTTAAAAATAGCTGGTAATATGAATGAGATCTTCTTCTAAAGATAGAACGTGTAGAAGTATATCGAGTTTACAAAAATGTATGAGTAGTTGTAGATGAGTCAATTCAATAATACATGCCCGTTGAAATATAGGAATACGAGTCTATAACACTAGAATCTAGGATAAAATTCAATATTGAAGTTAGAAGTATACAAGGAGGATTAACTTATCCGATTCAACCTATTAGATTCAAAACGTCTCTTTTTTAAAGGACGTTCTCTATAAAAAAAACACGACCTTATATCAAGAGCTTATATTCAAAACTTTAGTTAAAGATGAAATAATACTAACTATAACAATTAACAATTAATGGTAAAATATAAGTTTATTAACTATAAATAATTGATTAAAATTATGTTATATTTTATCTCTATCTGGTGCAAACGTCGAGTCACTTAAATATAATTAAGTGATATTGTAACTCTTAGGATTAGATTAATTAGCTTAATATAAATTGGAGTATGTGTGAATAAATATTTTCGCTTTTGCTGGTGTCCAAACAAATTAAGCTTCTGTTCAAGATTTCAAGCGTATATTCTTTAGTCAGAAACTAGCTAGAAGTCATAAAACTGGCCTCATATGTTTTTCCTTGTCCATTATATTGTCATATCAAAGTCCTTTTGTATGTACATATGTAACTATAATGACCCGATCGGTCGTTTTGAGCATTTCACTTCGCTCGCAGTTCTCGAGCATAACTAGCCCCGTATGATGTATTATGACTCATGTAAATCGTCGATTTTGGTTTTCAGGATAATCAAAATAGATGTGGAAGAACAATTCTCAGCTTGAAGCTTTAAATTTAAAAGGTTTGACCAAGTTTAGACTTTTAGTATTCGATCTCGAATTTGGATTTTTTATGATTTGGTTAGCTCCGTTAGGTGATTTTGGACTTGGGAGTGCGTCCGAAATGTGATTGTGGTAGAATTAGGCTTGAATTGGCGAAATTGGAAATTTGGTGTGTCTCGGTCGGCAGTGAAAATTTTGATATCGGGGTCGGAACGGAATTCTGGAAATTGGAGTAGGTTAGTGGTGTCACTTGTAACGTGTGTGCAAAGTTTCAGGTCATTCGCACGAGGTTTGATAGGTTTCGGCATCGTTTGCGGAATTCAGAAGTTTAGAAGTTCTTAGGCTTGAATCCGAGGGTGATTGGTGTTTTGATGTCGTTTGGAGTGTTCCGAAGGTTTGAATAAGTTTGAATAGTGGTATATGACTTGTTGGTATTTTTGGTTGAGGTCCCGAGGGCCTCGGGATGAATTCGGATGGTTGACGGAAGAATTGGAACTTGGTTTGAGCAGCTGAAGCCGCTGCTTATGTCATTTCCGCACCTGCGGATTGGGGAACGCAGGTGCGAGGACCGCAGAAGCGGTTATGTAGCGCAGGTGCGTAGCCAGGGCCGCAAGTGTGGTTTGGTCTCCGCATCTGCAAAGACCGCAGGTGCGGTCAGGTAACCGGAGAAGCGGAAATGCCCTTTTAATGAGATTCCGCAGAAGCGGAGCATTTTGCGCAGAGGCGGCCCCGCAGATGCGTAATGGGGACCGCAGATGCGGAAGTACTGGGCAGAATATATATAAAGGCTCCTTCGCGAATTTTTGGTCATTCTTCACCATTTTTGGCCGGGATTTGAGCTTTGGGCAGTGATTTTCAAGAGGAAACAAGGATTTTCAGTGGGATAAGTTACTTAAGCTTTATTACTTGTGTTAATGATGATTTTTCCATTGTTTAATCATGATATTAGTGGGGATTAGGGGTGAAATTGAGGGGTTTATGGCTTAAGTTTTGGAGAGTTTTGATTGAGGATTTGAAGGACCATTTGAGGTCGGATTTTGATAATTATGGTATATATAGACTCAGGAGTGAAAGGAGTACCTAGTTTTGTAATTTTTGTTGGATTTCGAGATGTGGGTCCGGGGTCGGGTTTGGGTGAATTTCGGGATTTTGGTTTGAATTGATTCCTTGGCCTATATTGATTGCGTTGCATTTCTTTTGGTTAGATTCGGGACGTTTGGAGGCCGATTCCAGAGGCGAAGGCGTAGCGGAGTAGGATTTGGCTTGGTTTGAGGTTAGTAACGCTTCCAAACTTGGTTCTGAGGGTTCGAAACCCCGAACTATGTGCTATATGATAGTATTGAGGTGACGCACATGCCAAGTGACGGGCGTGCGGGCTTGCACAGTGAGAATTGTGACATGGTTCATTCCATGGCACCGATTAGTAATTCTATCTTGTTGATATCTATGTTTCTTCATGTGATGAAGTAAATGGACTGCAAATCATGCTAGTTATCATGCTAGGTCTTTACGCCGATACGGTTGGGACCCCTAGTGGTTATTTCTTGCTGTCATCTCACTGATTTCATTGATATTCTGTACTCAGTCATGTTCATGCATTTCATATCGCATCTCAGTCTCAGCTGTTATTCATTTGCACATCATGTCATTGTTCCGGGCTAGTTTTCATGGCATTGTGTGCCCGTGGGAGAGAATGGAGAGTGATGACTGAGTGAGGCCGAGGGCCTGATTATGAGTAACAGTTATGGGTCGGGTTGCACGCCGCAACGGATTATTGATTTATGCCTTCGTTGGCTTGTGACAGTGCTTAGGACGTACGAGCCCCTCCGGAGTCTCCACACCCACAGTGGGTGCGGTTGATTATATTCAGGGATGGATCTTCTCTTGGTATGGAGATGCATCTTCTCCATAAGGCTGGATTGGCCCGTTCCTCGGTACTGGAGACTGATGGTCTGTGATGTATATATTCCGGGATGGATCTTCCCTGGGCCTTGTGAGCCATATACAGTACCGAGTGGTTGTGAGGTTGTTATTATTATTATCTAGAGATGGATCTTCTTCATAGGCTGGATTGGCCTTCCCCAGTACTGAGTGACTGCTGTCAGAGATGTATATATTCTGGGGTGGATCTTCCCTGGGCCGTATGAGCCATATACAGTACTGAGTGGACGAGCATTTGAGTGTGTGGGCACATGAGGCACTCAGCATGGTGCATTTCATACAGCATGTGCATTGGTATATAGATGTAGTAGAGTTATACTTCTTTACATTGCTCATACCTACTCCATTTTATTGTTCGAGCTGTTTATTTAACTAAAAGCATGTCTACATTTCTGTACGTTAATTTTGTTATCTTTGATGAGGTTGAGTTCGTCACTACCTATCAGTCCATAGGTTGGACTTGTTGCATACTGAGTTGGTGTACTCACGTTACCCCCTGCACCTTGTGTGCAGATCCAGGTACTTTCGATCCCAGTTACAGTCACTGATTGAGATTGCAGGCTTGGGAGATTGTTGAGGTATCTGCATAGCGTTCGCAGATTTTGACCCTCCTTCTCTATTCTAGTTCTCTTTCAGTTGTAATCAGTAAACATTGTAGTAGACTAAGTTATTTCTCTAGACGCTCATGTACTCCGTGATACCCTGGTTTTGGGCTGGTTGAATCGTGTTATGGATTTTGCTTATGTTATGAACGGTCTATTTTCTTAAATGATAAAAGTACTCTTCTGCAAATATTCTAAATTTCGGTATTGTGGTTGGTTTTTCGTTGAGTTGAGGCTGTCCTAGTTTCACGATAAGCACCATCACGACAGGTTGGGTTTGGGGTGGTGACAGTAACTAATGAGTTAGAATGAATACAAGCTGGTTTAAAAAATTTGTTTGAAGACAAACATATATGCATGAGAATGTGTACAATTGCCCCTACCCCTTCACAAGGTAAAGGTAAAGTCTGTATACACACTACCTTTCCCAAATCTTATTTGTAAGATTATACTGAGTATATTGTTGTTGTTGATCGGAATTCCTCCATCCCTCTAATTCAAGTCTTAAAAACAAATACTTTTAACTAGATAGCGTTTTATCCTAATGAAATCTAGGTTAATTGAGTTGGTGTTATGATTATATTGGATGCCAATTACAGGAGAAACAAGAAACATGAAAAATTGTGAAGGGTGGTTAGTGTGTGGACAGGGTAGGTAATGTCTACCATTAAGGATTATTTCGAGATGGATAAATTTTTTTGTCCTTAACTAGAGATCTCGTGTTCGAGCCTTGAAAATAAAAAATATTCTATTAGAGAGCATTTTCCTCTTTAATGGGACTTACGCAATATAAATGCGGATTAATAGGTGCCCCAATATATACGATGGCGTAGCTACACTACTTCAAGGGTGGTCAAGCGAACACCCTTCACCGAAAAATTATGTTATCTATATAGGTCGACTATCATTTTATATATATATATATTGAACACCCTTGATACAATTGATTGAGGTAGCCTAACGGCTCAGGGTGTTCGAAGTTAGATATTGTTCATAGGTTCAAAACCTTGTCTAGACATTAAATATTCTGTAAACTAAAGGAAATTTTACATGATATAGCTAAATATTGCACCCTATTTATTATAAAAAAAATACTTCAAAAATATTATTATTCATAGCCACCTTTAATATTTTATAGCAAAAAACATATTTAATATGTATTTTACCGTTGAGGCGTGAAACACGCGAGTTATCTTTTTCTCTCTTTCTCCTCCACGATTTTCAGATGCTCTCTCTCTCTCTGTTTCTCTGTCACTCATTCACTCACTCACTCACTCAGTAAGATTCTCAAATCCCCGATCAAGCTCGCGAATTTCTCTCTATGAATACAACCACAATTTTGTTCCTAAAAAGTACTCCCTCACAAATAGGTAAAGGTTTTGGGTAATTTATTCTTAGTTCACTGTCAATCTTCTATTTCTCATTACTAGTAATTCTATTTCAGTCATTGTTAGGGTTTCGCGAAGAAAGTTCAATTTTTTGCTTTAATAGCTGACTTAAGCCCTCCGAAGAGGGTTACACGAGGTATACCCACTACTGTCCTCAATTTTGATGGGCCAACTTTTGATTTGCGCATCACTCAAGAAGAAGTTGTATTTGCAGGCTTTGTTTCTGCCATGGAAGCCGAGAGGCGAACCAAATATGCAATGACCCCATGAAATAAGTTGAAGGTATGAAATCTACAACAAGAGCAACTGCTGTTGATGTTCCTAAAGTTTCGGCACACAAATAAATGTGGAAAAGAGAAGAAAAATTAGCGATATTATTTTTTGAAATTCCTCTGAAATAAACAAATAATCTTGAAAATAGTTATTTAATTAAAATTTGATTCTTAAATAGATTTTATAACTTAAAAGTCAATCTCTACAAAAGCTTCTTTAATAAAAAGTTCTCTACAGATTACAAACCCTCTTGACTCTTTTTTTTCTTTTGGTTTTATGCTTACTTGAAATATGTATCTATTGTTGTCTTTTTCTATGTTAGTTTTATTTTATCAATTGTTGTTCAATTACATATGTTTTATGATTTAATTAAATGTTATGTAGTTTGATGTAAAATTCTAGGTGCACCCATTTGTTGGACTTTAAGCCATTGGGCTTTAAAGTAGAAGAAGTGTGAATTGGAAATGGAGGGAAATAAAATGAAGGGAAAATTAAAAATTTGAAGAAGTGAACTTTTGTCTTGCACTTTGTCCCTCATTGGTGAGGGACAATCACATTTGTGTGCTTATATATAGAATCACTTCTTAAAGCTCTTAAAAGGAGTTGAAGAGAATGAACCCTCCCGTCGTCGTCGTCGCTCGGCTCGGCTTCGGCTTTGGATTTGGATTTGTCAAATGATCGATAAGATTATTTTTGGAGAAAATTTATTTAATTATTTAATAATTAATTAAATGCCAAATCACTGCTGAAAATACGCCAGAACCATGCTGAAGATTCAGAGGGACTCTCTGGCCGCGGTTCTGCCGTAACCGCAGTAGAACCGCGGTAGGCAGATTCAGAGAGCCTCTCTGACCGCGGTTCTGCCGTAACCGCGGTATTCTTCTGAAAAGGCACCTTTTCCAGACACCTCTTCTGATAATTGCATATAAATTCTGAGGCAAGGCTCCATTTTCTACACACGAAAAATACTCCAGAACTTCTTTCTTTTTGAATATACTGCATCCTAATTCGCAGTCAATCTCTCTCTAATTCGTAAGTGTGATTTTGCTTGGTTCTTTGAGTTCGTTGGGATCCTGCAGTTTGTATTGCCACTGTTGCAGGAAGGTTTATTCCGTTTTATCCTTGGAGGATTTAATCCATTACCTTGGCAACTTGTGAGGGGGTTAAAATTCCTTAAGGACACACAAGAAACTTGTGGACTCGGAATATTTCTGATTCTCTACTATTTCCAGATTTCTTTAATTCTTCTAACAGTTTTTTTTCTGATTTTGTGTTTTAACACAGTAACGCTCACACCGACACTAAATGAAAACAAAAAAAAAGGTAGGTGGTGTCAAATAAGTATGAAGATTGGGGGAGGAGGGGGGGGGGGGGGGGGGGGTTTAANGGGGGGGGGGGTTAAGGAACAAAGACAAACAAATGGGACCAGATAAATAAATTCAGAAATCTCAGTTAAAGTGGTGAGTTCTGAAACTCCCCTGGAGTTGCAAAATGTGCAACTTTCGATAGAGACTGATGAATACCAAGTACTACTAGTAATTTACACCAATGACAAGCCACAGGTGTTTGGACCCTCAAAATAATTATTGTACTTTGGTCTTTGTGGAAAAGAACAGTATCTTACCATCATAGGTTTAGTAGATTCAATTTCTTTTGGCATTTATCAAATTTCTAATGAAAACGATAGGAATAAAGTAATGTTATGGAGGTTTCTTTTTCCCTTTTTTCTTTTTGTGGGGGAGGTATGTGATAATGTAGAAGCATGATTCTTTATTCCATTATATTATTCCCTCCGCTCTAATTTATATAAACTTATTTCCTTAAGTTTTAATAAAAAAAATAGAAATAATTTAATTTAAATTTTTCATTTTATCCTTAGTAAAAAGTTTTTATAACCACATAAATGTTATGACATAGTTTAAACCACAAGTTTGAAACTTTTATAATTGTACAATTTCTTTTAATCATATTTAAGACAACAAGTACAAAAGATTTTGGGAAAGTACAAAGACAGAACGTTTCTTCACTGAAGTTGTTTCTTTGCCTAGACAAGTTAGAGCTTCTTTGAAGTTTGATCAAGACGATATCCTGAATTTTAGGTTCAGACCAAGAAAAAAATATTTTTGCTGTTAATTGTATTGGGAAAAATTATATTTATATATAAAGGTGACGTGTCAAGACACGTGGATTGGTCAAATAGTCAAAGAATTGCAATTAGCTAAGAGTCATGAGGTGCAACAGGAGCGAGCGAAGAAAGAGGAAGAGGCACGGGCAATCAGACAAACAACTCGGTGCCCGTACCTATTTAAGTCATTTATATTCGAGAATCAGAAGGAATGAATCTGACAATGGAAAAGAGTACGGATGCGGCATTTTATGGGTATTAAATGCTGAGTACGTTAGAGAATATGTTTTAAATGTAATGATTGTGTAACGTAACATTCAATGTCTTTAATTACTCATAACAGCCTCATTATAAGGAAAACGTATATTTCCAAAGGAATCTATAAAAAGGAGATGTATGATCAGTTATAAGGATAAGAGATACTATTGGAATAGACAGTGATTTATTTGTTTCTCTTGATTATCATCTTGCGATCCAGAATTACTTCTTTTTATTCATTTTCTTGATTATCAGTAACCCGAGTTCTTCTAAATTCTAGATTTGACTAAAATCCCATTTTTTGGTTAAACAAATTGGTTCCGTTACCGGGAATCTGATAATCTATTTTTCGCTTAACCTCCCTTGTTTCATCAACTATGTCGAACAACAATGATAACACTCAAGGAAACCAAATGAATTAACAAAATCAGGAAGATCCACAGCATATTAACGCTCGAGTTTCTACTCCACACGGCTCACCACGACAATCTCGTTAGGGTACTCCTGAAGGGTCTCAAATAAACGAGCATGGTCAATCTGAAAATGCTGAAGCTGTTGATGAGGCTTTGCAGAAATTAATTGTTGCTCAGGTCAATAAAGTTGTTGAGGCACTTGTTAATCAGTTACCTGTTGCAACACCCACACCTACTCCAAATAACAACACTTTGGAAAACCCTCGTTCTGGGCTTGTTAACTCAGGCGGTGGACGAACTCCCAGCGAATCTCAGGATAGAGAACCAGGTAATGTATTTAATTCCGATTTACAAAATTTAGTACTAACCTTGCAGAAACAGCTCAAGGAGCAAAGTGAGCACATAGAGAAGATACCCGGGGTGCCACCCATAATCAAAGGGGTAGATATGGATAGATATTCACAACAACCCTGGAAGCCAAGTGCTGCTCCACTTCCAATTCTAAAAAAGTTTAAAATGCCTGATATTCCAAAATATGATGGAACGACAGACCCATGAGACCACGTGACTGCATTCACAACGGGCGTAAAAGGAAATGATTTGGCTAAGCAGGAGATTGAATCAGTATTAGTCAAAAAATTCGGTGAAACACTCACCAAAGGAGCGTTAACATGGTATTCTCTTTTACCCGAAAATTCTATAAATTCTTTTGCTGAGCTTGCAGATTCTTTCATCAAAGCACACTCGAGAGCTCAAAAAGTAGAGAAAAGAATGGAGGATATTTTCAAAATCAAGCAAGGGGACTCAGAACTACTTAGGGAATTCGTGGATAGATTTCAACGTGAAAGAATGACATTGCCACATGTACCCGACAACTGAGCGGCTATAGCTTTCACAAGTAATTTGAATGAAAAAAGCTTGGAAGCTACGAGGAAACTCAAGGAAAGCCTTCGAGAATTCCCCGCTACAACGTGGAATGATGTTTATAACAGGTATAGCACGAAGCTAAGGATTGAGGAAGATACTGTTCCGCGATTTCAAAAAGAAGAAAAGGTAAGTTTGAGACGTTCAGAGTCCGAAAAAAGATCCGGTAAAAAATAGGTACGAGCAATACATGGGACCTGCGGGAAGAGACTCGCGGTCAAAATAGGATAATCAGAGGTACGATCACAGATCAAGGAATAGAGAGTCAGGCTCATCATCAAGATTTGGGAGTGACCAAAGCGCACGTGAGTCACGAGACAATGATGGAGGTCTAAAGGCAAGGTTTGGCGGTTATAATTTCAACGTGAGCACTTCTGAACTCATGGCTGATTTAAGAAGCATGTGAGATAAGGTACGGTGGCCCAAGGAAATGAGATCAAATCCAAACAGACGAAACCCTGATCATTGGTGCGAATTTCATAACGATCACGGGCATAAAACAGCAGATTGCAGGTTTTTACAGGGTGAAGTTGATCATTTGTTAAAACAAGGATATCTCACTGAGTTATTCAGTGAGAAAGGTAAACAGGCATACATGAAGAACAGGCAGGAGCCTCCAATACCACCTTCTCCCAAAAGAACTGTCAACGTTATAAGTGGGGGTGAAGACATCAATGGTATATCATATACTGCTGCTAACAAAATTTCCAAAGTAACAATTACCCAAGGAAAACGGGTGCGGCAAGTTTTAGAAGAAGACAACATTACATTCAGTGATGCAGATGCAGATGGCGTGTTAACTCCTCATAACGATGCACTAGTAATATCTTTAATTGTATACGATACTAATGTAAAACGAGTTTTGATTGATCCAGGTAGTTCCATAAACATTATTCTATTAAGAGTATTACGTGAGATGCAAGCTGAAGAAAAAGTAATACCAAAGGCACATACTCTATCTGGGTTTGATAATTCCAGCGTCGTTACGAAAGGAGAGGTAACGCTCACCACATTTGCTGAAGGAGTCGTCAAAAATACAAAGTTCCAGGTAGTAGACATGGAGATGGCTTACAATATGATTCTCGGGAGACCATGGATCCACGAAATGGACGCTGTTCCTTCAACCTTGCATCAAATCATTAAATTTCTAGCGCCATGGGGAATATGTCAAATCAAGGGAGATCAACAGATATCTAGGAACATCAACTCCGTGGCAGATTCAAGTACGAAGGGTGAAGAAAAATAGCAATTACAGAATTCAGTTGAGGATAACATAGCGTCAACCTCAACTGAACA